AAAAAAAAAAAAACAACCGACATAACGTCATTAAATATGTATGAGAGTCGCTAAAGATGACATGTGATAAACTTTTAGAGAAACCTAAAGGAAAGAATCCTTTTAACTAAATTCGTTCTTTACGGGAATAATAGAAATATATATATACACATGATAAAACAGGCCTCTTGACGTAAAATGTTGACATGCAGATATTTCTATTCTTTACTATGTTATATAAGATATCGTTGTTACTATTGTTGCACGTATTTTACATGAATAAATATTAAATATATTCTTTAAAAAATAATATTCACATCATTTCTCTTTTTTTGTAATGTCAATTATTTTCTAGTTCACATTACAAACAGTTGTTATCATGGAGATCATACATTTTGGCAGTCTGGCAAGTTATAATATTAAGAATAAGTAACTACGATTCTATTTACGAAGATCAGATTTGACTGAGGAAAAATTAATTAAAATTTTCTTCTTTAAATAGGAATATTAAGAACTAGCAATTATAAATCTACTTATCGGATTTGATTTACTTGAGGACAAATAAATATGAATCAGAATTTTTTCTTTACGCGTAGATATATTTTACCTTACGTGTCTAAAGTGGTCCACAAAAAGAATTAAATATCAAAGTCTTATAATTCTATATAAAAAAGATCATGAACATTAAATCAGATTTTAATTTCTATCTGATGTAATCTCTATGCAAAATCTGCATGTAACGTTTTTATAGATACACGGTCATGAAACAATAAATACTAAGCCATAAAAATTAATGAGATGATTAGTAAGCACGTATCAAGCTGATTAAGTATCCTGAATATGCGAACTTTATTCGATCGAAGTTCAACTTCAATCGTTTACTCTGCAATTATTGCAACACAAACATTTTTTCACAATATTAATCATTAATATGAATAAATAAAATATTTTATTTAATATTTTACGTAGCAATACGATTATATTTTGGTGCACACGTTTCTATTAAGATAATATTATACGAAAGTATGAAAACTCGTACAAGTATTTAAAAACTTATGCGAAAATCGATAAATATAATATTAGCTATAAATCTTGTGTGTAACTCAATAATAAATTTTGATTAATTTTTTTCATATTAGAACTATGTAATGTGATATAAATTTATATTGATTATATAATTTTTTAATATTGACAAAATCTACTGACAAATCAGAGACAAATGGCACGTGCATAGCCCGTGCATCGTTATATTCTAATCTATATATAATTTTCTATGATTGATACGATAACACAATATTAATTTCATTTCCAAGAAAATTGATATATATGTTTTGATCAATATAGTTTTTATTACAAGTTGCGATTTATATTATGCATTGTTAATAACTTACATTATGTAATTATAAACGAAACGTACATAAAATCTTTGGAGTAATTTCAAACTGAGAGTAGCTAATCTACAAACTTAACTATATTAAAAAGATCTTAATTGCAGGTATCGTAAAATAAAATACATTAATTTTTATGTAAATAACTAACATATGTATATTGTTATGCACTTTTCTAAAAATTGCAGAACTTATGCAAATTTAATTGAGTATTAATTATAAGGATGAATAAAAATTAGATATGTAATAATTTCGAATCCTAAATTAATCTCCTTTTGCGAAGAAGGTGAACATTTGTCAGTAAATCAATTAAAACAATTCACACAAAAGAAACATTCTATAACGATAATTGATACTAATAAGCTACAGATTATTTAAGAAATTAGAGGTTTCAGCCAACAAGAAATTTACAAAAAAATATATATTATCTGTAACAGTTATGTATATCGGTGTATATAAAGTATAAAAGAAGTGAAAAGACTAGACATTTTATACGAGTTGTGTATAAAATAACTAATAATCAACTATATCGTGTTTATAAGATTAAATTATAAATATAAAGTAAATATAACAAAGATCTGATCATAAAATTGCTAGTAAATACTTCATGATAATATCATATATATCTTGTTATCACTCTTTTCTAAATTGTCACATAATAAATAATCAATTAAAATAAAAAATTATTCTCGTTGATTATTGTATTGTAGAATTACAATGTCATTTAAGCTTTCGTTTTAACATGCTGTTGTGAGCACATTTGTGTGAGCTGCCTCCTTCAAAAAATAGCGTGTTAAACACATGTAAATATTGCACACATTAGAAATAACTTTTTTTTTTATACATCATAGGCTTGTGTGACGTGTTGTAAAAATCTTATTATTACTAATAAGATTTTGGACGAGTACCAAAATCCCCATTGTGACAATATAACTATTTGTACTTTCGAAGTAACAAAGGGAAACGCTACAGTTGTATTAAATAAAATTTCCATTGCGTAAATGGAAATAAATGCTTAAACAATTTAACACATTCAAGCGGTATTACTTCGATTAAACAAAACGCAATAAGGGAGCGTAAAATTGCGCTATTATATCTATAAAAATTTAATGTCCTAAAAGCTAGAGTGCTTAATGACATATTAAAATTTCTCGTTTTAAATATGCTTCAAATATTAAATGGTATCTTACAACATAGTATAAAGCAACGTAGCGTATAATATCATAACACTAAACAATAACACTGTGTATCAAAGATATACATGTACTATACGTTTCCTAAAATTATCAAATATTGATACGCTTCGATTTTCAATCACCGTGTGTCTATAAAAAAAGGTATAATATAACATACAAAAATTATTTAAGAGAGTCTGCTACAACCGCAATTACTACTATCACCGATTGACGTCGTTTTACCGTTTACTGAAGTTGTATTCGTTTCATACCGAGGTAATTCCTTACTGCGTGCTTGCTAAAATAACATATATACGAGCACTGCAAAACTGTTCTAAACTGCGAAAATGATCTTAAATAAAAATTAAAAAAAAAGAAAAAGAAAAAAATACGAAAAGATCGCTTACCTCCATAAGTTCAGCTGCTATCTCCATAAATAATCTCTCTACATTTTCCGCCTCTTTCGCGGATGTTTCTAAGAAGTACATGCCATGCCTTTGTGCAAAATCTTCTCCCACGTGCGTCGGTATCTCTCTATCCTCTCGATCAATTTTATTTCCTGATTAACATATAGAATTGTATGATTCACCACTGGCGAAAAAGAGGAAGAGCTTCCAGCTTACGTTATGTAATCTTTATATTCTTTTTTTTTTTCATTTACCTACTAATATCCTAAGAACTTTATTACTCGCATATTCCTCGATTTCCCTCAACCAATCTGGCAAACAATCGAACGTAGGTTGACAAGAAATATCATAAACTAATATCAATGCGTGTGCTGATCTATAATAACTTTGAGTAATGGAACGAAATCTTTCCTGACCTGCAGTATCCCAGATTTGCAACTGAAATAAAGAAACAAACGTTAGATCGCATAATCGTATGTATATACGCTAACGCACATGTCGCAAATTATACCTTGACTTTTTCGTTTTCTACTTCAACGGTTTTAATCATAAAGTCAACTCCAATTGTTGCACCTTGCCCAGGCGGAAATAGACCCTGGAAATTTTAAAATATTTAAAGTATTTAAAATATTCACGATAAAACATATCGACATACCAATTTAACTGTTTCCACTGAATTGTCTATTTAACGAAATGTGTTTTTCCTAATTTTATGATTAATTAGCATACGCGTTTCTTAAGAAAGACGTCAACATGTTATAAAAATAGTGCCCAGTAATGCATTCTATTACAAGAGATGACTAACTTTTAGAATCGTACGAGTCATACGAGTCATACGAAAGAGGATCTCTCATTGGAAATAAATTTTAGAAAGTTTCGGGGCCGACATCAATTGAAAGTATAACACATCAAATGGTACCCGCCGCAGGCAAACAGACTACGGTAGTTCGGCTTCAAAGTAACGCTCCACATATGTAGATGACATCATCTCCTGGATGCATAAATAACGAACTTTCCACCCTTCCGGGAAACGCGTTCGCGCGTGAACTCCCGCGCGCGGGGGACAGCGGGAGGGTCCCGCGAGAGCGCCTCTCGCTCGACGGCGAGCTCTCGCGAGCTTTCCTCGAGAGAGAGGTTTTCGCAATCTGCGAAACGGAAAGAGCGGGAGGGGGAGGGAGAGAGAGAGAGAGAAGAGGTCCCTCGTCGAGGGACCGGAGGGACGTCATCACGTCGACGCACCTGAGTGAACCGTCGCACCAGGCAGGTCTTGCCCACGCCGGCGTTCCCCACGAGCACGACCTTGAAGAGAAACTTGTAGTCCTCCATGTTCGCGGGCCACTGTCCGGCACCAGGAGGCGGTGGTCCACGGTGGCGGTCCGCGAGTCTCCCGTTCAACAGGGACGGCGCATCCGAGCGACGACGACGACGACGACGCGGGGAGACCACCTCCCGACACCAACCGCGGCACCGTCGACTTTCCGCAAGCGTTCACCTCGACGGCGGACCTCCGCGCGTGAATATCCACGAACGCACACACACGCACGGACGGACGGACGGACGGGGCTCCGCGCGCGCTCACCTCCTCGGTTTCGCGGTCGAGGAAGGGAGAGAGAGAGAGAGAGGAGAGAGAAGGGGCCGAGAGAAACCGACGGCGACTACCTCGACATCGTCGCCACGCTCGCCGCTGCTGCACGCGATCCTCACTCGGCTCTCGCGTCTCCCTCGGACGCGACCGACGACGACATTGTGTTATTGGTTATGTATATAGGCCCCCCCCACCCCACCTCCTCGCGGGACGAAGCGTAGAAAACGCCTTTCCCCGCGATCCTAACCTCGGGGAGACGCCATCTAGCTTCATCCTCTCGACTCCTCCACCGCCAGGATATTAAACACCATCGACCTTGGGTAAATTTCCGTTTTGGGTAAATCTCTCAGCTGACGAACGGGCCCCCGAACAGCTTTGACATCATCGATCACTTTCGCTTCGTCGGAGTAAACAAACAGTTTTTTTTTAACTCAATCAGTCACTGTTTTATTGTCAATAATACGGAGTGCTGAAAACGGAATGCGAAAGGTACAGAAAGTGTAAGTTTCGGGAAGAACGGAGTAATTAGCCCGCGTGTGCCGAGAGGAAACTTCGACGACGTCGACGAAGTCGGTCTCGAGGAGGTCTCGAATTCGACAGTCGGAGAAACGATCGGCGGGAGGATGAGACGGAAGGCGGGGGTGGGCGCGATACAGAAGCAGAAGCTGGAGCAGGAGAAGTACCGGGACAAGGGCACGGAGATCCAGGAGAACCAGTTCGAGCAGATGACCAAGCACATGGAGACGTTCCGCGTGAATCTCGAGGAGTTCGCGTCGAAGCACAAGAGCGAGATCAAGAAGAACGCGCAGTTCCGACGCCAGTTCACGGAGATGTGCGCCTCGATCGGCGTGGACCCGCTCGCGTCCGGCAAGGGCTTCTGGTCGGTGCTGGGGATCGGCGACTTCTACTACGAGCTCGCCGTCCAGATCGTCGAGGTGTGCATGGCGACCAACTACAAGAACGGCGGCCTGATATCGCTGGACGAGCTGCGGACGCGGTTGATTCAGGCACGGGGACGCCGGAAGGAGCATCAGGAGATCACCAACGAGGACCTGCTGGCCGCCGCCAAGAAGCTGAGGATATTCGGCAACGGCTTCTCCGTGGTTCCCATCGGCAGGGGGAAGCACCTGGTGCAGTCGATACCCGGCGAGCTCAGCATGGACCACACCGCGGTGCTGCGCCAGGCTAGCACCGCCAACGCCCACGTCTCCAAGTCCATGCTGTGCAGGGAGCTGAGGTGGGAGGAGGACAGAGCGCAGAAGGCCCTGGACCACATGATGAAGGAGGGACTGGCTTGGCTGGACAGACAGGCGGAGGACGAGACGTTGTATTGGTTTCCCAGTTTATTCGCAGCTTGCATTATTTCCAAAGAATAAACTCGGTATCAGCGCTGTCAGACAGATAGGAAATAATTTAAAGACAGAGTTAACGTTGCTTCTTAAGGTCTGTATCTCCTTGGTCAGTAAAGCCAATCGCTCTGTAATATTTACAGCATCTGAGACACGTCGCAATCGTCCTATATCTAATATAGGACATCGTCATCTGGTCTCGGGTATGTATATATCTCCTTGTGTATAGCTGAAACCGCAAAAGAGAGAAAGAAATATAAGTAAAAAGAACACGTCATTTTGATACGACACTCAACTTGACTGAGATTTTATACAAACCTATGTTGAATGGTGTCTGCTCTAAATTGAGTAAGTTGTTGCTTGCAAAGTAGGAGTGCTTTGTGTAGGTCGGTATTCTCTGTCCGTAACGAACTAACTTTTCCACGTAGTTCCTTAGACTTTACTTGAAATCGTGCCGTCAGAGATTTCGCTTCGTCTCTCCATCTTAGAATAAAAATCAAGTAAATCAAATTTCATTTAGCCAGATTTCAAATTGCGATGAATTTAAATTCAGATTTTACTACCTTCTGCTTAATTTTTGATGAACCGTCACGTGCTGCGTCATCTCTCGTATTTTCTTATCGAAATGCTCTTGCTGCTTGTTCAATTGCTCAGTTAACAGAGACTGCCAATTGGAGTCCATATTTTCAACTCTGGAAAGCATAGACATTTAAGCACATCCAAAGCGAAAAAGAGTTATTTATTTTGTATGCAAGTATATTATTATAAGTATTGAAAAATGTTGTATATAAAATAAAATTATTTACCGTATATCCAAAGTGTGTTTGCTCGTGTCCGGCCGATGTTGCGAGAAAACCTGTGCTGGAGAAACATTGGCGCCCGATTTACCCTCCGTTATGTAGTTCTCCTTCAGAAGGCTCTCTTCCAAATCGCGAATCTTAGTTTCCAGCGCGCATCGCTCGTAATCTCTCTTGTGTATCTCGCGATCGAAGGCCAACTGCAGCGACTTCAGCTCCGTCGCCAGGGACTCGTTGTCGTCCGTGGCTTTGACCAATTCGCCCTCCAGGTTAACGTAGCGATCGATCGCGTCCTTCGTCCTCTCGTCGGCCAGCTTGATGCGGTCCCGCACGTCCGTGGAGTTCTGCTGCTGAAGCTGCCTCAACCTCTCGCTCGACGTCGCCAACTTTTCCTCCAGACCGACTACCTTTTCCCGCAGCTGTTGCACCTCCAAATTGCACCGCCTCCTGCAGCTCTCGTTGCAGGCCTCCAACTTGGAGTCCGTCTGTTTCAACGCCTGTTCGAAGGTCAGAATCTTCGCGGCTGACCTCTCCAGCAGATCCTCGGAATCGCGACGCATCCGCTCCAGTTCCTCCCCCGCCAATCTGCTCTCCCTCTGCGTTCGATCCAACAGCGCGGCCTTCTCCCGCAATTCCGCCTTCAGCTCCCTGATCTCGGACAGGTATTTCTTCACGTTGTACTCGTGAGCGTCTTTCAACCTGGTGATCTCCGCTCTCATCTTGACGGCGTGCTCCTCGCCGATGGAGGCCAACCGAGTTTCCAGCCTGGCGTTCTGCTCCGCGATTTGCGCCTCCCTCTGAAGCACGAAGTCCTTCTCTTTTACGGCGGACTCTATCAGATCGAGGGTTTCGGCCATCTTACACTTCGTCTCCTCGTTCTTCGCCATAATATTGCTGGCCACTCTTCTGCTCTCGTTCAGTCTCCTCTCCAAGTCTGACTTGAAGTGATTCAGCATCTGCACCTCCGCCTTCGCGGCACACAGTTCTTCCGTCAACGACTGTACCGTCTGCTGACTATTCCTATCTTTTAAATAAAATTATATACTGAGACGTATACACTATCTCTCTTCCTCGCTTTCGCGCATCTCAAATTAAACACTATATAAATCACCTTTCTGTTGAGCGTCCCGCTGGAGCTCCTGAAGCCTCGTCGCTGCCTCCTGTTTCTCTCGCTTCAGAGCCTCTATCGTCTCCTTGCTCGACATCCACGCCGACTGGTGCTTCGTAAAATTTTCCCTCGTCTGAAGTAGCTTGCTCTCCAAAGCCTTTATCGCTTCCGAATACGACTGTCTGACGTCCTTCAATTGCTCCTCGTAAAACTTGGCGTCCCGATTGTCCACCGGGCGAGCTCTCAGCTCTTGCTCCAGGGCGTCCACGGCTTTCATCGACACCTGCCACAGCTGGACCGCGGAGTCCTTCTCCATTTGCAGTGCCGCGATGCGCTCCTTCAGGCTCGCGATTATCTTATTGTGCGCGTCCTCGCTGCCACATTCCTCCGAATGGACGCGCGAGATGTAGTCACGTATGGCGTCGCTGCCATTCCTATTCTCGACGTGCAGAGCTTGCAGCTCGGAACGAATGCCGGTCTGTTCTGTCTGTAAAAAGATATTCGTATATCAGAATACAGAAATTGTCTTAAGAACAATGAGATTAAGACGCAGTTGGGAGAAGAAAACATATCGCATTGCTGGTGAAATGACATGAACTGTCAATAAGAAGCTTACTTTGCACATTTCCAAATCCCGTTTAAGTTCCTCGACGATGTCATTGTATTCCTGAAGAATAGCATGATGTTCTCTGGAATGCAGAGGAAACAGTTAACTTTTTGTCCAACAAAAACAAATCCATTCAAGATTTCCTAACCTCACACTCACCCGCGTCTCAGCGCGCTGTACTCCGAATCGAACATTTTCGTTTCCAACATTTTTTCCCTACGAAACTTATTGATTTACAAAAGGCACATCAGTTATAACAAAATTTTATCTCGGTGTCTAAACTATTTTCATTCAATTTATTCAACAACAAGCCATTTGTGTTTACATGGCTTCAGTTGTGTACACACACACACATATGTGGATGATACGCAACGTATATCGATGTGCGATAAAAATGCAGTAAAGAATATATTGACAAATATATTGATTTAATACATTTTTTGGGTCTATAATTATATATATATATATATACATATATATATATATGTATATATATATATATAATTATTTGTATAAAAATATGTGTATAAAATTGATATCAAATCAATATCAATATATCATTAATTAATTGACAATAATTTTTCACTGGATAAGAAATTAGCAGATATATTTGTTTAAATTGCAATTGCAATTTCCAAAATTTTTGCACTTAAAATGCGAAATAAACTTGGCTGTCGGTAAGAGAGAAAACGAAGATTCCGAGTGCAGTACCTACAGACCGAAGTTTGACTCGCGTTGTAGTTCAAGTTGCCGCCGCTTTTGAACTTCCGTCGTCATTGGCGGAACGCGGCTCGCGCGGGATGGATCGCTCTCGAGTCGAACGCCTGTAAGCGGTAAGCATAATCGTCTCTTACGATATTTAGAGACTTGCGCAGCGCGGATTCGTTCGTGAACACGTCGCGACGGGTTTCGTGAGGCGAAATTTGACCGCGGCTCTGCGTATGTCGCGCGATAATTGTCCGCTCGAGATCCGTGTGACGCGAGCGACGCGTCGTAGTTGGGCGACTTTCGGACATCGCGCGTTCCGCGGGATGTTCCACCTCTGATTTTGAATCGTATATTCATGTTGCAACGCGGGATAGCTTAATCGCCACGACGTTTCATTCGTTATATGGAGAGCACAGACATTTATCGAGCAAAGCGCGAGAGATGCGCCGAGAGCAACGATAGCCACCGCGCGTCGCGCGAATTCGCCTTGCCATTTTGGACGCCGTCCGTGCGCTAATATATATGGGCCCGCGAGCGTCCGTTCGATTCGTTCATTTTTCTCGCGCTGTCCGTCCGTCGCGACGACGATGTAAAGCGTGCCCCGCGTGCACTGATATCGGGAGTATATGTGCGATCGTTGTAGTCCGCACGATTAATACGCGCGTATTCGTAAAATTCACGAATTTGTTTCTGGCGAGCAGGTTGCGCGAGCGAAATGATGCTAACGGGTGACGAGAGGAGAGGAGGAAGAGGAGGAGAAGGCGACCCGAAAGACGCTCAGCGACGGCGGAACGGTAATTATTATTTATCTATGATTTATCACTTGGAATTATATAATCGTTTATCTGTGCGACTACTCTGTGCGCTATTTTATGAGCTGTAAAAAATGCGTATGTATAAATTATTTTGCATTGTTTAAGGCACTTTCAATATTTGATATGATATTTAATTCTTTTGATAAAATTATTATGATGATTAATATTGATTTTAAGATACTTATGGTATTTAATATAATTTTTATTAATAGTATTATAATAATTAATATTTAAACGCAATATAACAGTCTTTTTTTTTTAATCAAAATGCTCTAGAATTTAATATTTAAAATTATCGCTTTTATCCATTTATGATAATAAATGACATCATTTATTATCATAATTAATGACATCGCACTTCAAATTTTAAAAGTAATTTATCCATTATTTCCGAATTTTAAGAGTAGAGTAACACATAAATTAGAGGAAATTATCTAAGTAATGAAAAACTATGATATTAATCTTTTATCAATAATTTTTTTAAGAGATTACACGTACGATTAATATTGAATTAATTAATACGAACTGCTGTGATATCAATATACGATTTTACGTATGATTTTAATTAGCAAATGAATTTTTTTCATTTTTTATCTCTGCAATTTATCGAATAAACTTATATATATATTTATATATAATTTAATTTATTCGATAAATTACAGAGATGATTCCTGATTTATTGAATTTATTTTTAAATAGCTCTAAATAGCTAAAATAGTTTTATTCGTCTTGTGATTCAAAGATGTGAGATAAAGTTATAACGATCCATTCATTTTCACAAACTTTCTCGATGAAATAAATAATAAAGTACAGAATATATAGACGTTACTCTCTTCGAATGAATATTAGGTAGACCCGCGACGATAATCCATCCTTCGAAGTTAGCTCGAACTCGGCGAAACGGAAAGTATTCGACGTAAGATTATTTCGTAAAATTAAATATTTCGCAGAGCGAGCATAGTAGTTGGCGCGCGACCTTGGCGTTTACCATCGTGATGTAGTTTACAACGGCCGGGCGGCTGTTTACACTACGGCGCCCGGTCATCGCGCTATCACTCGCGCACCGACGCTCGAGCGGGTCGGCCGCGGCGTCCGCCGCGCTTCGCGCCACGTTATCATAGCCTACAACAAAACGCGATTATTCCTCGCGAACAATTCGCGAGTATCAATTCGCGCGCGGTAGATTAACCGCCACAATTAAACAATCTGCAAGCGACGGCTGCAATGCTTATCGACGCGAATATTTCGATGAGCTTTATTCGTCCGTTTACGTATATACTTATATATAGAGAGATCGAAGCGATAGGAAATGAGAGTTGTGTATAGGTATATCGTTCCATTGGCACATTTATTGGCCGACAATTACTTTTTTAATGTCCGTGGAATAAATCTCTTGTCATTAACTTTTTTCGTCCGATTCAAGGATAATCTCGTGTCAGTTGTAGTTTCCGGATTGAAATCGCGGAGCGTGGAGTAATACGCGAATCGCCGGCACGAAAGTTTTAAGAATTTAAGCAGTAAAATACTATCATGTATGAACTCTTTATTAGATATATCATATATACCGCGAAAACGTACACCACATTTGGCAACGGGAGTGTTGCGTATAAAATGCCGTGCGAGCTATTTTTCATTGTCCATTCAATATACACAGATAAAATTAATTTCGTAAGTAAATATCACATTTTCGAAACGTTTAATTTAAAATCTGCACTTTATCTTGCAGAATTAAAATTTTTTAAATATTTTCACTATAATGAAAACTGTAATTTAGGAAAATGACTTTGTGAGATTGCGTAATTCTTTTAATAAATATCTATTCAAATACAAATGAAAAAATTCAATGCGCGTAATAATTATTTTTTGAAATATTATATCTCGAACACTGCTATAATTTGGATATTTTTTTTTCAGATCAACGTGATTTTCGTTACGACTCCAATCCTTCAAGAAAGGACTTGGACATTGCGTTTTTTTTCGAGCAGTCGAAAAAGTTCGGTATAAATAAATCGCGTATAATTCATCACGGTTTTTAACTTGGCGTAATTTTAACTTCGGGAGTGCCGTACAAAGTTTCGCGCGAGCATCGTACTGCAATAATTAGTTGGCTCGCGATCGTAATTAGTCGTGTTTCGCGAGTGAGTGTTACGTGAGTGCAATCAAGGAATCTGAGAGGAGGAGAGGGAGAAGGAGGCCTGGAGCAGCTAGGAGGCATCGAGCGACGGCGGAGCAACTGTGGAGTAAGTAATATTTTATTACATATTATTTACAGCTCTTTTACATTATTCTGTAGCGTATTTCAATTACTTTATTTAAATGAAAAATGTATATGTGAATATTTATTGCATTTATTTTTGTAATAGTATTTTTATTCTCTAATATTTTTTATAACGTATTCATTTATACCTACATATTGCTAGCTTGATTTATGTGGCTCAAAACAAAGTAAAATATCATATGGATTCAACAAATATTTCATTGCAGAACAGAAATTTTTGTTAAATAGATTATCTCGCAGAGTTGATTAATGGCATGTGTGAATTATATTAGAATACTTGAAACATCGAAATTTTTTAATGTCAAATTAAAACTATCATCAATAATTCCTTAGCATTAAAATATGGTAAGATACTTGTTTTCATTTAATCTACTTATAGATTACGCATTTCAAATTTAACGATAGATTTTTAAATATAATTTTGTAAGAATCAATCAATATTTAAGATATTTAAAGATAATTCAATCTAGTGGTCATATTATATGTATATTTCGCAACAATCGTATGATATTTTACTTATGGAGATATCGAAGAGCACTGATATTACCAATCCGATTTTCAGTCCGATCTGACTGTCTAAATGTTTGCATTTAATATATTGCAATATTTATTTATATTACAATTTATAATTTTTAATGTTCCATAATTATATACATGTAGGTATATTTATAAAATTATTTCTCTGTTGATCGAAGGCTATCGATAATATTGAGATATCTCCGAATTCCTTTGATAATTATGAAAATTTATGGACTAGAGGTCCTCAATAACATTTCGTTAATATTAAATTACATACGAAAATTTGTTCGCACAAGTTAAACCGTAAAAGTAAATAGTATCTCGTATTATATATTAATAGCCGGCAAAGTGATGTTGAATTCGGCAGTGAATATGGTCGGTCACTATACTGACATAAAGACCGATGGACCTGTTTGACGTGACTGATATTAAGTATTTCTAAATGAAATTCTGGGAACTTAATTCTGTTTACTGAAAGATCGAGTTGTCTATTTTTTGTAGATATTAATATCAGTCGAATTTATATCTTAAAAGTATTTTTATTAAATCAATCATTTAGAAATGAAAGCTGTAAATTAACAAAAGTGATTGAACGTATTGATAAAAAAATATGCACAGTTTTTTTTACTGCTTTTAATTTACAAAGAATATAAATGATAGAAATTTACAATATATTACGCATAATGCGTGCTTTTGGAAAAGATTAATAGACACGGATATGTCACAATTATCAAATGAATGCTTTAATGTAATTCTAAATTTAATAATGGATTATGGTAAATGGTTATGATTTATTTAATTATAATAATATTATAACTTGATTATAATATTTATTTACTTTTATATTATACATATATGGAATATATAATGTAAGACAGAATGATCGAATAAATAAATAAATATATATATATATATATATTTATGCGATTTATATCAAAATTTGTATGAGAATTAATTTATATGTTAATTCAATTACAACTTCAACGATATATTAACAGTTTCAGATTAAAGCATTTAGTGTATAATTAATACTT